CACTTGTTCTGTTTTTCCTAGGCTCCACTAGCACGCCTACGGACCTGCGGATGCTGGAGGTTGGTAGTGCACCTCAGGACAGCCACTCACAATCTGAGGGGCTCTGAAGGTGCAGAGTGTGAATTCTGGGTGGAATTCAGGCATGTCAATTTTCACAACTTTAACACAAGTGGTTCACTGACACCAAAATAGGAAACATGCTCTTGAAAAATGTTTCATATTGGGTTAGTTCTTTTCGACACCATCATATCATATAGTTGGTACATTTTTTCTTCAATCACTAAAATATGATCTTACGGTAAAGCTATGGTTAGTTTAAGATTGTGAGTTGGTCATTTGAAAAATAAGCCTAGCACTTCACACTGGCATTTCTAAAGAACAAAATCTCCCTATTCTTCTGATTTGTATTTGCTTATTAAATATCCTTTCAATACAACTTCCATGACAGCACAAGCATAACTGCTTAGCAGTAATTGTCGGGCTTACAACCCAGCAGGTTGGAAAGAACTGGGGCTCAAAGGGACATGATCAGCTTCTAAGCTCTCCATGACCTCGAGCAAGTAAAAAGACTTCCTTATGCTTCGCATTTATTGAGACAAAAAGAGATCTAAAGATAAAATGTAGAAAGGGGTTTGAAATTAACAAATAGGTAAAGATTTAAGTAGTAATTTTTATTGAAAATCTAAGTAGATAAACCCCAATTTTTTATTTTTTATATTTGAAATAGGTGTCACTTTCTTGCCCAGGCTGGAATGCAGTAGTGTGATCACAACTCACTGCATACTCAATCTCCTGGGCTCAAGGTGACCTTCACACTTCAGTCACCCAAGTAACTAGGACATGCCACCATGCCTGGCTAATTTTTTATGTTTTGTAGAGATGGGGTTTTACTATGTTGCCCAAGCCAATCTTGAACTCCTGGGCTCAAACAAACTACCTGCTTTGGTCTCCCAAAGTGTAGGATTACAGGCATGAGCCACTGCATCAACTCTAATATTCTTAACAGTAGAAACATTTTTATTCTATGTACAAACATAAAAGGAGATAAACATAGAAACTTACTGAAATATTAGAAACATATCAATAATCACAAACTCCAGGAATCTGGAATAAACCTTCAGGATGATAAGGGGCCAGATTCAATGGATTTAATTGTTAAAACTACAGACCAAACATCCCCAACCATGCCACTGTAATTATACTAGGTTTTCAGGAATATATATATTTTTCTTTTAATGTGCTTCATATTCTTTTCCTATTTTGGTCAGTACACATTTCCTTTTTTGTTTTTTGAACACCAGAGCCACTTGCCAACAAATTTCTTTAAAGATAAGAAAACCAGCTCTGTAGAATTTTAACACTTAGTTAATGTTGAAAGCCTAGTACAGTACTTAGCTTTGTTAACTTTTCAACTTTGCTTAAGTACTAATGTTATTTTAGAACAAATTATGTAACATGAGTCCTGGAACTTGGCCTCTTCAAATTTTTGTACTTTGGTCAGTTTTGTAAAAAATTATTTATGTAAAAGTTTCTAACTTATTGCTATGTATTTTGAGCATATTGTTTCTTTATACTTCCCTGACTGCAAGTTGTCCTTTTCTCTGTTCAAACTATATTGTTATGTTCTTTTTAAAATTAGAGAATGATTTATGTAGTTATTTAAATGTAATATTTTTCATTTTAAGACTTGTGTTTATAGAAATGTATACATCTATTCTTTAAGTACTTCTCAGAAAAATAATTTGCTTCTTTTACCTTATTTGTAGCTACTGTAGTGATGCTCCTTCCCAGGAGATGCTACTACCTAGAATCTGGCTAAATTTGGAGGTAAGTGGGTGAGGCTGGTGAGAACATACCTATTCCTTTTATGCAGGGATGCCTGAGCCACAAGAAGCACATGCCGAAATTTGGCAAACTACACATATAACAGATTCAGTGCTTCAGCACTCACCAAAATAAATATTAATCCGGGCATTAAATACTGATCTGGTGATCTGGGACTCAGTGTGAAAGACGAATAAATTTAGTATTACACACAATTCTTTAAAACTTGCCCTCAAACACAGCAGCTCTTGTTAGATTCAAATAAGAGATACACAGCCTCCTTATTTTCTCCTAGGCTATGGTACTGATAATAAGTGGGTGACAGTTTACATGTCTATATTGCTTTTGTTTTCTTTAAGGAAATACATCATATATCATAAATACATAAATATAGTATTTGTTATCATAGGATGGGCTACAGAATAATTAACCTTCTGTGAGTTAGTGTATGTACATGAGAACAAAAGATTCCTTTTGTTCTTACTTTTCCCACTTCTATCTCAAGGAGAGCATTGCTAGAGAAGTGTAGTTTAGGTTTTTCTCAAGAATCTTAAGTATAGCTCAAGAAGAAATAATGAGCTGCACCTGAATAAGAAGGCATCTTGGAGATGGACATCTAATTGACGTTTCTAAAGTTTAGTTAATATAAAGTCTCCAGACTTTCAGAGCCTCTGATTAGGCAGCCAGGACAGAAATAAGTTGGCAACAGAATTCTGTTGGTCCACCACAAACTAAACCCACAATACTAACTTTTAACTTACTGCTGCGTAACTGCAGACCAACACAGGACAAGCTAAGAAAGGCTATATTTTCTTTTGTAAATTACTAGAAACAAGTATTAAAATGTGTTCCAAAAATGTTGCAGATGATCTGTCTGCCCTATCTAGGGGAAGAGGACATTCAAAAATTGTTTTGGAATAAAATGCTGATGTATAAAATATATCATGACTTTATCTATTACAGCACCATAGTCTATCATCTCTCACCTGGACCCTGTATTGATCTCCTAATGGGTCTTCCTCCCCTCTTACACGCTTGTTTCCCCCCTTCCCCGTAATCCATCCTCCACACACAGAACAACCACAGTGACTTTAAAAATGTAAAATCAGACCTACATCCTTCAACAAAAGTCCACTACTCTGAAAGCAAAAGTCCATTACTCTTCATCTTGGCTTTCAAGGCTCAGTCTAATCTGGCCCACTCTAATTTCCCAGTCTCTTCCCATGCCACTCTCCCCGTCTTCTTGGGTTTCCAAACACATTTCGCATCTTCCTGCTTCAGTCTTGCTTTAGAAACTCAGGGACCTGCCTTGTTTGCATCACCCTAACAGCATCTGAGCTGGTGCTTGGGGCACAGGAGGCACTCAAGTTTTTGAATCAATGAAAGATGAAAGTCTGTAGTGCAACAAGTGTCCATTAGAGGGCTCCCTTGACACTGGAAAACAAAACTTAGATGATGTCCACAGTGAGATATTGACAAAGTGATCGTGATACAGTAAACACATTTTATTTATTTATTTTAGAGACAGGGTTTCACCATATTGGTCAGGTTGGTCTCAAATTCCTGACCTCAGGTAATCCACTTGCCTTGGCTTCCCAAAGTGCTGGGATTACAGGCGTGAGCCACTGCGCCCAGCCAATAAATACATTTTTTAAAGTAGCACATTACCAACTGCCTTCACTTCCTTCTAGCTGTGTGACCAGACTGTCTGTGACTTCCTGGACCTCTATACACACTGACACCAGTGTGTACACCAGTGTGTATACTCAGTGTTCACGTCTCTAAGTGGAAATAGCAATTGTACCTCCTCTCTTAGAGGGCTGAGGCAAGGATCAATGAGATGAGGCATGGAGAGCACTCAGTTCATTGTCTGGCACATGAAAGTCCTCAATAAATGGTTGACCGTTATCAAGTCAATTAATGGAAGTTAATTTGATCTGTAATGCCTTTTCCAATAATTTTCCTGTATCCAAATTTAACCTCTTTTTCAAGGCCCTGCTCAAATACTGCCTCTCATGGATAATATAATTCAACAGGCTTAATCCCCAAATCCTAATGCCCCCCTTGTGGCTCGCCTTTACCTTCCTTCCACAGCCAAGCATTTGGACAAAGTTGTCTATATCTCCATTTGTGAAAATGATCATGATCAATTTTTTGCACCTGCCATCCACTGAAACCATTCTCAGTTAGGTCGCTCATAGCCTCCCTGTTTTAAATTCGATGAAAACCTTTCAGCCTCTTTGTCACTAGCTACTGGCACTGCTGACCACTCCTGCCCCAAGAAACACTGTCGTCCCTGTTTTTCTCCCCTGCCTCTCTGGCTACTCCCTTTCAGTCTCCCTAGTCCTCCACTGACTTCATGTAGCCCATCAATGCCAAACTCTCAGGCCTTTTAACTCACAGACCTCTTATCCAGACTCATCCATGAGCTCTAAACTCAACTTGGCTTTCCTACAGGTATCACAAACTTAACATGGCAAAAATAAACTCATTGTTGGGGCAGGGGCAAGTAGGTTGGGTGAAAAAATTTTTTTCAATTAAAAAAAAATCATCATCATACTTAGATCTACTGAATATTGAACTTGATAAGATAGCAAAACCATCCACTCCATTACCTGAGTCACAAATCTCAGATCCAGTGTAAGTGGCTTCATCAAATTCTCCATTCTCTATGTCCCTAGCTTGTTCCATTTGATCTCAATATCTCTGCCTTGGTTCTTCCTGTCTTGACCCCTAGACTACCTTAATATAGTTTCCAACTAGTCCCTGGGCCTCAACTCTTGTTTTCTAAATTTTAGAGACAAGGCGTCGCTCTGTCACCTAGGCTGGAGTGCAGTGGCATGATCATACTCCTTTGTAACCTCAAAGTCCTAGGCTCAAGCGATCCTCCCACCTCAGCCTTCTGCATAGCTAAGACTACAGGTGTGTGCCACCATGCCTGGCTAACTTAAAAATTTTTTTTTTTTTTTAGAAATAGGGTTTCACTATGATTCCAGGATTACCTCAAACTGGCCTGAAGTGATCCTCCTGCTTCAGCCTCCTAAAATGTTGAGATTACAGACATGAGCCAGCATGCCTGGCCTTTTTAAAATATAGCTTTATTGAGATATAATTCATATCCTATTAAATTCATCCATTTAAAGTGTACAATTCAGTGAGTTTTAGTTTATTCACAATATTGTACAACCATCATCACTATCTAATTTTATAACATTTTCATTACCCCCACAAAGCAGTTACTCCCCACTCCCTCCTTCCAGCCCCTATAACCACAAATCTACCTTTTTTCTCTATGGAAAGAGACAGAGATGACTATTCTGGACACTTCATATAGATGAAATTATTCATTTGTATGTGGCCTTTTGTGACTATCTCAACTCTTACCCCCTCCCCCATTCTATTCCACCCGTCACAGTTACCAGATTGATTTCCCCACCCCGCCCCCCAGAGATGGAGTCTTGCTCTGTCACCCAGGCTGGAGTGCAGTGGCACAATCTCGGCTCACGGTAACCTCTGCCTCAACCGCCTGAGTAGCTGGGATTACAGGAATGTGCCACCACACCTGGATAATTTTTGTATTTTTAGTAGAGATGGGGTTTTGCCATGTCTAATCTCAAACTCCTGGCCTCAGGTGCTCTGAGCACCTTGGCCTCCCAAAGTGCTGGGATTACAGGCATGAGCCACCACACATGGCTGAGACTGATCTTTATAAAACACAGCTCAGGCTTACACCTGTAATCCCTGCACTTTGGGAAGCCAAAATGAGTGGACTGTTTTAGTCCAAGAGTTTGAGACCAGCCTGGGCCAGACAGTGAAACCCTGTTACTACAAAACATAGAAAAGTTAGCCAGGTGTGGTGGCTTGCACCTGTAGTCACAGTTACTCAGGAGTTTGAGGTGGGAGGATTGCTTGAGCCCAGGAGGTCGAGGCTGCAGTGAGCCATAATGGCACCACTGTACTCCAGCCTGGGTAACAGAGTGATACCTTGTCTCAAAAAACAAAAAACACCAACCCCCTGCTTCCCCAACTTATGTCACTCTCTGGCTTAAAATCCTTTAATAGCTCCTGGAAGATTTCAGGATAGAGTTCATGTACATAATGGCCCTTCCCAAGCTGCTTCCTGTCTATCACCCCAACCAATCCAACCACTATTCTTCCTTTATTCCATTCAAACATTCTGTTTCCCAGATATATCCTCCCATGTCACACCTCCACAGCTTTCCCATGTGTTTGTCTCTGCTCAGTGCATGCTTCTCTGTCTTCCTTTTCCACATACTTGGCCCTCACCTCTTTAACTCTGCTCAGACCCTCACTGGTGACTCAGATGCATGGTGCCTGGTGTTGCCATAGCACCCATCTAGCAAACCCATTATTCCACTGTTTTATCTTCTCCCATGAGACCATTAGCTACTAGCTGAGGGCACAGACCATGTTTCACTTAACTCTTCAGCATTTAACAGTGTGTTGCATGAAGGAGTCACTTCAATACCTGTTCTGTTGAGTGTCGTAATGATCTTGGAATCAGCATTTGTTTATACTCACTGTTTGGTAGAAAGTCCCGCCATCTTTCCCCCAGGTTTCTTGCCCCCACCCTCCCCCCAGGCTTCCTGCTGCCCTGAGAAAAGCCCGCCAAGCCTGCTCTGTTCTGCCCAGCAACAACAAGCAGCCAATCATCGCAGCAGGAAAGCCCGCCAAGCCTCGGCCTATCCTGAACCGACACGTAACCCTCTGAGCCACCTCAGCAGTCTGCCCAGAGACGGACAGCCTATCCTAAGCTCCTACGATACTCCGCCAGCCCTGTGTCCATGCCCCATCCACCCCCCCTATAAAACCCTCCTACCCCAGCTGCGCAGTCACAGCCAGCCCCGATCTCCTTCCTTTTCTGGCCTGCCCGCTGGTCCCAATAAACCTGAACTCGGCTTCCAACTCTCGAGCTGTTATTTGGGGTCGGGTACCGGGCAGGGGTCTATAAGGGGGTCGCACATATGGTGCCGAAACCCGGGATGGAGGGTCGCTAGCCCCCCTAGCGACCCCCTCCCTCCAGCGACCTCCCCAGCCCTCCTCCAATTCGGCCTCAGCACTCCGGACCAGGTAAGTCCTGTTTCTTACCTTCTCCTTCCGTGGTGCGTGTGGCAAAGGCCCTTCCTCTCAGTCCCAATCCACGGATCCCTCGCCAAGCGCCGGCCGGCCCGAGCAGGATCCCCCAACCAGGCTCCAGGAGCCTTGGGTCGGCAGACAAGGGACGCCTTCTCTGACCCACCCAATCCAAAACCATTAAATAGGAATGATCAGACGGGACACCTTCTCTGGTCTTTCCTATCCACCTTCCTCTGGGGAGGCTGGTGGGTTGGAGGGACGCCTCCCCCCACACTACCCCAGCCCACTCGGATACTGTTCCGAGCTCGGATACTGTTCCGAGACCGCCCTCGGCTGGCAGGAACCCTTTGCTGCACGCATCATGGGGAACGTGGAGTCCAAAATTCCTAAAAACGCCCCCCTAGGTTGTTTACTTCTCGACTTTACCCGCTTGGGCTACTCCCAAAACCCTTAGGCGGAAAAAGCTTGTCTTCCTCTCCCAGGTGGCCTGGCCCCAGTATCAGCTCGATAACAGGTCGCATTGGCCTCCCACCGGCACTTTCGATTTCAATGTGCTCCACGACCTAGATAACTTCTGCCGCCGAACTGGCAAAGATAAGGAAGTGCCTTATGTTCAGGCTTTTTGGGACCTGTGTTCCCATCCTGACCTCTGCTCTTCTTGCTCTACTCACCAAGTTCTTTTAGCCCGAACTCCCCCACCGCAGACTCCTACCTCCCCAACCAAGCCACCTCCCTATACTCTACAGGAAGAGATGCCTGACCACATGTCTTCCCCCCTTTGTTCCCACTCCGGAAGTCCACTACCTCTCTCCCTCCCTACTCCTCACCGGAGGATCTGCCTGAACATCTATCCTCTCCTGCCAATCTCAGCAATCAGTTGCCATCAACGGCACGCTCTTCCTCTGCTCCCTCTGCACCTCCTACCTTGGAGGCCATGCCTCGCTCTTCCTCTACTCCCTCCGAGCCCCCTCCCTCAGAGGCTGCACTTCCTCTTGCCTCTCCGGTGGCGGCCCACACCCGCTCTCACCAGCCAGCTATCCTGGCCCCACTGCGAGAAGTAGCAGGCGCAGAAGGTTTAATCAGGGTCCATGTTCCTTTCTCACTTCAAGACCTGTCCCAAATTGAGAGACGTTTAGGATCCTTCTCAGCCGACCCATCCACCTATATTAAGGAATTCCAATACCTCACTTAAGCATAAGAAGCCCTAGTCCGGTATACTCGACTAGATCCAGCCTCCCAAAACGGGGCCACTGTATTAGCCTCCCATTTTATCTCCCAATCAGCACCCGACATAAGAAAGAAACTAAAGAAAGCAGAAGAGGGGCCAGAGACTCCCATCCAAGACCTGGTAAAAAATGGCCTTTAAAGTATTCAATGCCAGGGAAGATGCGGCTGAGGCTGCCCGCCAAACTCGCATGAAGCAGAAGGCTGCCCTCCAGACCCAAGCCCTAGTGGTGGCTCTAAGGCCGGCAGGGAACCAGAAGCCCAAGGCCGAAACCCATGCCCCTCCGGGAGCATGTTTCAAATGTGGAAAGGAAGGACACTGGTCCCGAGCCTGTCCACAACCACGGCCACCAACTAAGCCTTGCCCTATCTGTCAGCTCCCGGGACACTAGAAGTCAGACTGCCCCAGCTTCCCCAGGGTGCCGGTTCCTCAAAACAGACACACTGGCGTTACGCAGCCGGCAGTCACCCTCAGTAGGGAGAAGCCTGCTTGCCAGGAGCCGACCTCCAAGGGAGCTCCGTTCCCCAGTCTACTAGGGCTGCTAGACGACTAGCGGGGCCCTGGCTTTCCGACTCCGGTTACCCTCGCCGAGCCTAGGGTCACAAGACATGGGGGCTACCTACTCCGCACTTCCTTCTTATTCTGGCCGTCTCACCCCTTCCCAGGTCTCGGTCATGGGAATCGACGGGACCCCGAGTATCCCCTACCAAACCCCACCACTCATGTGCTCATATAACTCTACTCCATTTACCCACTCTTTTTAGTAATCCCCACCTGCCCAGTTCCCCTTCTGGGGCGAGACATCCTTTCAAAGCTGAAGGCCGTCATAACCTTCCCCACTGCCAGCCCATACAGCCTCTTTCTCCTAGCCCTCAATACTCTGCCTCAGAACTCCAGACCCTCCAGTCTACCCCCGGGGTACGGTTCAGGGATGACTTGGCCTTCAAGCATAACCTCCTCATCCTCCCCGAAAAGCAAAGGTACCAGATAATCCAAGACATCCATAATTCACTCCACATTGGGCCTAAAGCCTTATACCGGTTCCTCAACCCACTTTTTCACCCTCACCATCTCCTCAGTACCATACAGGAAGTCCAGTCCTCCTGTACTGTCTGCGCAAAAACTAATTCCCAGGGTTCCTGTCATCCTTGGCGCCAGCTTTATCAGCTACGTGGGTTCCTACCTGGCCAAGGCTGGCAAATTGATTTCACCCATATGCCAAAGCATAAACAGTACCGGTATCTGCTAACCATTGTTGACACTTTTTCAGGCTGGATTGAAGCTTACCCCATAGCCTCTGAGTCTGCCGGGACAGTAGCCACTCATCTCATTCAAGACATCATCCCACGCTTTGGACTCCTGGCTACCATACAGTCAGACAATGGCCCAGCCTTTATCTCCAAAGTCATAATGCCGTTTCTACCTCTCTAGGAATTCAGTGGAAGCTACATGCTGCCTACCATCCTCAGTCCTCTGGTAAGGTGGAACGGGCCAATGGCCTAATAAAGGAGCATCTGACCAAGCTCTTGCTTGAGCTCCGCCAATCCTGGGTAACCTTGCTTCCTATCGCCCTCACCAGGTTGAGAGCAAGCCCCCGGGGCCCATCACAGCTTAGCCCATTTGAGCTGCTGTACGGTTGCCCCTTCCTACTTTCAACTCCCCCACCACCAGAGACCACTCCTCTAGACAGCTACCTCCCCTACTTTACTCTCCTTCGCAGCCTTCTCCGAGAACACGCCAATGCTTCTCTTCCCCAACCCACCCAGCCATCTGAAAATACACAGAAAGTCTCCCCCGGGGACTCAGTTCTTATCAGGTCCCTCTCCCCAAAGCCCCTCGCCCCCAAGTGGGAAGGACCATACACAGTCCTCCTTACCACTCCATCAGCTATAAGAGTTGCTGAAATCCCATGTTGGGTCCACCTGTCTCGGGTAAAAAAGGCCCCTCATGGACCCTCCTTATGCTGGAAGGCTGTTCCTACTGGCCCTTTATCTGTCAAACTTACCAGGGCCTAGCAGCCACACCCCCTACAGATGGAGATTCTTCCTAACTGAAAACTATACCAAAACCACCTTCATCTGTAATACCCCCCCATACAGCCACAACCATCTTCTTGCAACTTCCGACTGCCCCGCAGCCGGATGCCAAAGGGCCATATATCTGAACTTCACCAAATTCCATAACATCCATACTGATATACCTCTCATGTGCTTCAACTATGACCAACCATCAGGAGCATGCAATAATACTCCTTGGCGCTCCTGCATGGGATGTACTTGGATGAACTGTCAACTACATATAGCCGTCAAGTCCACAGTACCTGCCCGATCTCAGCTCAAAATCATCCCAGACATAGATGGAGAAGGAAACACCATTATCGGTTCTACACGGTATTCCATTCTCATCCCTGACCCCTGGGACAACCGGTGGAAAAGCCCCCAGAAAGCTGCCGTGTATGACCACATAGATACCCAATATCCCTCTTCCCACCTGTACATCTGGCGGGCATACGTACGTACAGTCCACCAAGTCCACTCTGATATTAGCCTACAAGAAAAATCTCTGAATGACCAATTACAACCACATTCGTCTCTGTTTTCCTGGTTAACTTTTCTCCAAGAAGGAATCAAGTTAGCTAACCTCTCAGGACTAACTGACCTAACCTCATGCCTCATGTGTGCCTTCTTAGGACAGACTCCCTTCATTGCAGTCACTTACCCCATCCCTCTCAACCTTTCAGCCTCAACTTCTTCCTTCTCCCCCGTCAGGGAAGTCGATCTCTACACTCCACCTGATTTTGAACAGCTACCTGTGTGCTATTCCCTAGGCCGAAACTTCCCTAGCTGTAACAGAACTATACGGGTAACCACTAATATAACAGCCCCACGAGGAACATTTTTTGGTGTAACAGGACCTTAACAAAAACTCTCTACATTGGCCTTTCCTCATCTCTTTTATGCCTCCCAGTAACCCTAGTCCCTCGACTCACTATATGTTCTTCAGCTGAATTCCAGATGCTGCAAGCTCCCCATCACCGCACCCGACGAGCTGCCTTCCTACCCATTGCCATTGGAGTCTCCCCTGCTGGTTCAGCACTTGCAGCAGGATTAGGAGGAGGGGCACTAGTCCACTCTCACCTGGCCATAGCCCGACTGACCTCACAACTCCAAGCAGCTATTGATGACTCTACTGAGTCTGTAGCATCACTCCAATGACAGATCACCTCAGTTGCCCAAGTTGCCTTGCAGAACCGAAGAGCCCTAGACCTGCTCACTGCTGAACGAGGAGGGACCTGTATCTTCCTACAAGAAGAATGCTGTTACTACATCAATGAATCCAGCCTAGTAGAAACCCGAATCGAGAGCCTCCAGAAACTCAAAACTAGCCTGCAGAGTCAGAAGTTCTCGGCTGAAGCCACAGCGTGGTGGTCTTCCTCTATGTATACCCTCTTGTCCCCATTGCTTGGGCCCCTAGTAGCCATTTGCCTAATCTTACTTATTGCTCCTTGCTTTCTACAGTTCATACAGCGGCGCTTTCAAGAACTGACTCGAGTCACCATCCACCAGATGCTGCTCCAACCCCACCCTGAACGAGTGCAAGAAACAGACCTCTCCCTGAACATCCAGGCTCCTTAAGAAAAGAGACCTCTTCAGAACCCCCCGTCGACCCTTGTCAGCAGGAAGTAGCCAGATCGATTCCGCCGCGCTTTTTCCTTTTTAAGGAGTTGGGAATGTTTGGTAGAAAGTCCCGCCATCTTTCCCCCAGGTTTCTTGCCCCCACCCTCCCCCCAGGCTTCCTGCTGCCCTGAGAAAAGCCCGCCAAGCCTGCTCTGTTCTGCCCAGCAACAACAAGCAGCCAATCATCGCAGCAGGAAAGCCCGCCAAGCCTCGGCCTATCCTGAACCGACACGTAACCCTCTGAGCCACCTCAGCAGTCTGCCCAGAGACGGACAGCCTATCCTAAGCTCCTACAACACTCTGCCAGCCCTGTGTCCACGCCCCGTCCACCCCCCCTATAAAACCCTCCTACCCCAGCTGCGCAGTCGCAGCCAGCCCCGATCTCCTTCCTTTCCTGGCCTGCCCGCTGGTCCCAATAAACCTGAACTTGGCTTCCAACTCTCGAGCTGTTATTTGGGGTCGGGTACCGGGCAGGGGTCTACAAGGGGGTCGCACACTCACCCCAAAACCCCAGGAGGCAATTTGCCTTAAAGAAGATCAAAAGTCACACACATGACCAAATTTCGTAAGACACCCATAGGGCACAGGATCTGCACATGACATGAGAACTACACCAAAAACATTCCTCTTAGAAAAAGCAATGGACGAAAACCATTCTGGTTTGGTGGAGTTCCATGACAAAACAAAGAAATTGTTGTTTCATTGCCAATTTCTCATGTTTAAAACACAGACTCATAACTGATTTTGTCCTTGAAAAACTGCCTATAGGAGTTACGTGGTAGAAAATATTTCTCATTTTTATACAAGAATTTAAGCATGTAAGCACATTTAATAAGCCATCGGCTGATGAGAATAATTTTTTGTAGGGAAAAAAAGGTGTAAAAAAGTACCTGTAGATAAACCTTCTTCACACCGGGCACATAATCTGCAATCCGGCCAAAGAGCAGTCGTCCAACTCCTGAAGTGATGCCAATGCACGTGAGAACAATCTCTTTATTTTTTTTATCTTGAAATCTTTCATTTACATGTTTCATCTGTAGGCCAAAGAGAAAGAAACCACACTGAGTATAGTAGAAAAATGTGAAAAGTTTGAGGCTTTGCATCAGATGCATTTGCTTCTCTGCAATATTATGGGCTCACAACTTTTTCCAAATTTGAATGTTTATAAAATTTGTCTTATGATAACTTTTCATGAAAACATATGAAAAAAAATGAACATGTTTTAGCTTTCATCTTAAAAAAGCATTTTTATGGCTGGGTGCAGTGGCTCATGCCTGTAATCCCAGTACTTAGGGAGGCCAAGGTGGGCGGATCACAAGGTCAGGAGTTCGAGACCAGCCTGGCCAATATGGCGAAATCAAATCTCTACAAAAATACAAAAATTAGTCAGGCATGGTGGCACATGCCTGTAATCCCAGCTACTCTGGAGGTGGAGATAGGAGAATCCCTTGAACCCAGGAGGCAAAAGTTGCAGTGAGCTGAGATTGTGCAACTGCACTCCAGCCTGGGCAACAGTGCAAGACTCCATCTCAAAAAAGAAAAAAAGCATTTTTATAAGTTATTTTCAACAAAGGGTTAGAAGCATGCAATTATAAGCTAACACTGAGCCATTAGCTAACAGAAGAGAACAGACATTTGGACATAATTGTTCTCTCAAGGTCACCCAAGGACTTATCTCCTCCCTAAGAGACAGTTCAAGGGTCAATTCTGGAGTTTCATTTCTTCTAGGAGGACCTGAACCAAAACTGACACCCCTGAAATAAGTTATAACAGAGCTTCCAGAATGAAAGCATAAGGTTCTCTACCTGTAAAGTTGCCTATTTGTGTAGCATTAGAACAGATAAAGATGCAGGGGCAGCTTAACATAGCAGTTAAACGATAAACCTCTGGAGAGGCAGACTGCTTGCATACAAATCCTGGTTCCATCCTTATCAGCCTTGTGACTTTGGGTAAGTTCTTAACCTCTAGGATTTTAGTTTCTTTGTCTATAAAATGGAAATTGCAGTAGTACCTACTTCAGAAATTGGTTGTAAGGATTAAATAGAATGTCTGTGTAAAGAGCTTAGAACAGTGTTTGGCAAACAGTTAATAACAATCAGATATTAATTTTAGCCTTTTTTTTTTTAAAGGACATTTCTCCATTTACAGTGTATTCAAAACAGAGACTACAGTGACTTACGGGCCATGTAAGCATATTTTCTTTGACCTTTCCGTATGCCCGACACTCACTGTCCCCACACGACACATTGGTTTCAGTTCTGGAAGTCTGCAAGCAAATTTCTCACCAAATACAGCTGCCCATATAGTGCCTTATTTGGCAGTGAATAGCTTTCCTAGATGCTATCACTATAAAACACTTCCCATTTTGCATTGTAAGAGCTCATTTATGTATCCCAACACCATCTCCTTTCTCTCTTCTCTTTCAGAACTAGTAACTGTTCTCCCTAATTTCTGTATTTTCATACTGGTCCAGAATAATCCTCCTAAATATGCCTTTAATCTCATCAAAGGTGGCCCACTGCCTACATTTGCACTCCTTAGTTTGGTATTTAAAGCCCTCGGTAACCTGTTGCTAATCTACCTTTGTACCTTTGTTACCTACTGGTCTTTGACTCAGAAGTAGAAAATTCATCTGACTTACAAGCCTGGCCAAACAAACAAACAAACAAACAACAACAAGTACGAAACAGTAGAAAATTCAAATGTCTAAGGGCCCAACAAAATAACATAAAAAAGTAAAACGGGTTCCTTGGAGAGAAAAGACATATACTTCAGTCGATTGTTATCATATAGGACTACCAGTGTTGCCAAATCTACCCCTAGGACCCCTTTTATTTAAAAGTCAGAAGTCTGGATTTTGTGTGGAAATGTTGGCATCTAATTTAAATTCAGGACACTGTGTGATCCAGCCCTGCAAAAGCCAAACAAAACACGTCTGCAAACTGCATTAGGCCTGCTTTGCTCTCAGCCCTAATCCCATCTGACCCAGTAGGACAGGTTTATTCACAGTGTCACTTAACATGCCAAGATGTTCTTACCCATCTACATTTCTGCTGCCTCTTCTACCCTCTTTAACTTTCTAACTTCTTGTTATTGCCAACAGTTTTCATTTGGCACCTTAGGTATTGCCTGTTCCTACCCAGCCCTGTTAGTGTCTCTACACATTCTCTTAAGTAGACACTTCATGTAAAATTAGACATCCAAAGTCAACATGCCCCATGCTGAACTCAATTCCCACTCACAAATTGCCTGCCCCCTGTTTCAGTTAATACACATCCATAGTGGCAACTGACAGCTACCCTAGATTATACCCTTTCCCTCCTCAAATCCAAGAGTCACTGCTGAATCTTAATGATTTACCTTCTGAATCTCTCAGACTTGCTTCCTTTGGCCCACATTCCTCATGGCATTTTAGTTCCATTCTTACCACTCCCCACCAGGACCACTACAGCAGCCTTCTAACGGCAGTGCTTCTTGCTTGGGCCCTCACTTCTGAATCTCTCCCCTCTAACCTACGCTCCCTGAGAACACCAGTTTACGTTCAAAATGAACCTGTCTCAAACAAAAATAAGAGACATTCCTTAGTATTCATAAAAGGCTGAATCTACCAGGCATTTTTAAAAATGAAACTAAGAACCCCTGTCTGTCAAATGGTTATTATTCTTTATTAGTGGTTTATTCCCCACCCCGCCTTCTACTTTGTAATCCTTAAAAGGAGTAATAAGGTGAAATGTTTGAGGTATTTTGAAAGAAGATAAATTGGGTAAACCCAAATTATGCTTAAGAGGGAACTTGTTCTTCAACTAGAAGGGGCATTATTATTTAATTTATTTTTAAAATTTATTTGAGATGGGAATTTCACTCTGTCACCCAGGCTGGAGTGCAGTGGCATGCTCTTGGCTCACTGCAACCTCCACCTCCCTGGTTCAAGTGATTCTCCTGACTCAGCCACCCGAGTAACTGGGATTACAGGTGTGTGCCACCATACCTGGCTAATTTTTATATTTTTAGTAGAGATGATGTTTCACCATGTTGGCCAGGCTGGTCTCAAACTCCTGACCTCAAGTGATCTGACTGCCTCAACCTCCCAAAATACTGGGATTATAGGCATGAGCCATCACACCCAGCCCAGAAGTGATATTATTTAACCGAATTTTGTTACTGTCATGATTATTTAAATAAAGCAAGAACTTCAGCTTCTACTACTCCCTCCCTGTTCCCACCAAAATCTGCAAACTAAAAAAGTTTATATGGTCAGTACGTGAGGGAATAGAGATGTTGGATCTCTAGATCCTTCTCACTGAGGCAGCAGTACCCAAGAGGTCTGGTATGTTCTACTTGTAGCCTGGACCATCCATGACTGCTGCTAACTGTTTTACAATTTCTGCCTATCTGTCATCCTCTGGGGACTGGCATGTACTTTAGTTCAGCAGAAAGTGAATACAGGACAAAGTGGATATTTCTAATAAACAGTTGTAGAGATATGAAAATGTTGAAGAGGTGTTTTCATACTTAACCTAATTTATTTTTTAAACCAAAGCTTATACTAGAGGCCACTGTCTACACAGGGGATATATTAAGGTGTAGTTAACTTTAAAGATAAGTTAGACTTTATCTAAATGTATTAAGTGTCAGGAATTCATATTTTATTTATGTTCTTAAACATCTGTTTAATTCTGGGCTGCATACTTCCAGGGGATTAACAAAACCTTGCTAACTGACGTCTTCAGCACTGCCTGTGCCTGAAACATTTTTGCTTTTAGAGACAAGAGTTTCACTCTTGCCCAGGCTGGAGTGCACTGGCATGATCACAGCTCACTGCAGCCTCCTGGGCTTAAGCAATCCTCCTACCTCAGCCTCCCAAGTAGCTGGGACCACAGGTACATGCCACCACACCCAGCTAATTTTCAAATCACTTCTGTAGAGATGTGGTCTCGTTAGGTTGCCCAGGCTAGTCTCAAACTCCTAGGCTCAAGCAATCCTCTGGGCTTGACCTCCCAAAGCGCTGGAATTACAGGCATGAGCCTCCATACCTGGCCCTGGATAACTGTTTCTGACTAGCCAAATGAAGGCAGGTTCCTCTCCCCTCACTAGAGCCCACAGGCAGATCCTGTTTTTTGAGAGGTCTCAGGCCGTAGCCTAAGAAAGTGATCATCTAACTGGAACTCAGCCCTGGCCGCTCTCCTCTCCACCTCTCTCTTACAGGGGAGCCACAGTGCAAGATATTTGGAGATATCAGATCGTGTTCTGATGAAGAAGCTAAAGCAGAGTCCTCTAACTCTGAGATATCAACCACAGAGGAAGTTATATGGGTGGCCACAGTACAAAAGCAGCTCCAATAAAGCTGACACACATGCATGAGACACTCAAGCTTCTCATCACCAAATGGTTTCATGATAGAAGAATGTCCAACAGAAGGGAACCCCAAATCACGTTATTTACAGAAACCTCTGAA